ATTGTTCTTAATCTAATTCTTGTTTTCTATATTTTTCCAGGTTTTTTCTATATTTCTTTAATCCTCCAAAAGAGTCTTCGATAATAAAAGATTCATTCAATACTTTTACTCTCAATCCTTTTCTTTTTAGTTATTCTTTATATTCTTTTACTAAGGTAGTTTTTTCTGCTCCACATGTTCCATTAATTCCTATTATTGAAGTTTTTACTTGTTGTTTCTTAGTCAATATATTTTGAATTAATTAAATAACAGGTTTCTTCAATACTAATTTAATATCTCTTAACTTCTAATCAGTTATTTCCTATAGTTCCATTAATTTTGACATTTCATTTATAATTGTTTTGAAACAATAAACTATTCTCCATTTATTTTCTTTCTGATAATATTCTGTTCTCCAATATTTTAAGTCACTCATTTCTAATTTTATTCCAGTTTCTTCAAGTATTTCTCTTTGAGCTACATGTTGTGTTATTAAGGTTATTAAGTCTGTTTCTTCAATATGTTCTTCAGGTTTTGCCAGTATCCATATAATTCTTTTATATAATTTTTTCTTTTGCTAACTCAGATCTTCCAGGAGTTAGATTCATACAGAATTGTTGTAGTATATTAAATTATTTTTAGTTTATTAATTGTTGTCATGATTGTTTTTCTACTTCTTGATCAAGTGGAATATTCAGGATTTTTATAAGTTTTTCAAGACTTTCACCATATGCATTGCTATTCAACGTGGTATTAATCTTTAATTAGTATTCATTTTAGTTCTTCAGTATACAGGTTATTATTAATTATTTTATCAAATATTTCTATTATTTTATTAAATTCTTTATTATTAATTATTACTTCTTTTTCTCTATTCTTTTTCAACTTTTCATATTCTTCAAATAAATTTTTATATTCTTTCAGATCTTTATTTAATTTTCTATTAATTTATCTTTTATTTTTGTACATTGTTTTATAATACCAAATTGTGTTTGCTATACAGTATTCATAATATCCTTCCAATTCTTTATATCCTTGACAGTGAAATAATGAAGTTTCTTTTTTTCAAGTTAATTTTTCAGTTACTTCATATTTTTCAATTTGTTGAATGAGAATTTTTACTTTCTTTTTCTTTAAAGATAATTCTTCTTACAATTTTTGTTATTCTTCTTGTTTATTTTCTACTTGTTTTTCAAGGTCCTTATTAATTTCTTTTATCTGTTTCAGTTGTTGTGTTAGTTTTTCATTTTCTTTTTTATATTGTCATTGGAATTTAGTCTCTTCTGTTTCTTTATCTTTTATTTTGTATTCTTCTTCCAGAGGTATTATCTTTAACATTTCTTTGATTTCTCTTTCTTGTTGTTCTTGTAATTCTTTCTCTTGTTGTTCTCATAATTCTTTTTCTTGTTGTTTTCATAATTCTTTTTCTTCTTTGGTTTCTGCAAATATTCTTCTTTTGTGTTTTCCTATTAATCTCATATTCTTTTTAAATTCTATAATATTAATTGCTAACTTTTTTCAGTATTCATTTTCAATTATTTCCAATTCATCTTTATATTTTGTGCATTTGATATATTTATCAAAAGTATACTGTTTATATTTTAAACAGTATAAATGTTCATAATACATATATTCTAGATAGTACTCATATTGTCCTTATCTACATTTTTCTCTGGCAAAAGATCTTACTTTTCAGAATACTTTAGGTTCACACTTACAAGAGTTTATTTCATGTTCATGTTCAGCACAATACTTATTCATTTTTCTATAGCATGTGCAGATTAGATATTCTATTCCTGCTTCATCATATTCTACTGTTCCATAGGGGTAACATTTTCAATCATGAATCATAGTTAGGTTAGTATCAAACATATGTTTTTCTTCATCCTTCAATTTCTTGTGATTAAAATATTGACATATTGATATACAATATTTACTTCATGCTGCTTTTTCACTTTCTCTTCAATTGGAATATTTGGTCTTCCTTTTTTTATCAAAGTTTGCTTTTCTCATAATTTCTTCTTCAAAATCTTTGGTCCAGTCGATTTCTTCTTTACTTGATTCTCCTTTCTGAATATGGTTATTTCTTCCTGAGTTATAGGTTGGTTCATTGGCATAAACATTCTTCTTTATTTCAGGGAGGTTTGTTTTTGTTCTTTTTACTATCGCAGGTTCAGAACACAGGTCAAAATTCAAATATCGGATATTTATTGGGCACCTATCGGGTGCCCAATATATTTATAATATCAGGTACCTATCGGACACCTATCGGAGAAGAATAAACATATCAGGCACCCGATATGATTGATTATTACTAAGTACCCAATAATTAATTTTGTAAATTTTATCATGTACCCGATATAATAGTGATAGGTGTGAGATAATTTTATTATTATCTCAGGTCTCTGATATTGTCTTGAATATCGGGTGCATGATACTAAAATAGTAATATCGAGTGGATGATATTCTAATTATTTTATTCAGGTACACAATATTATTATATACTCATTGTATTAGATAATCTCTTTATTATTTATTATTAAATAAAATAAATTAAACATTAAATCTTCTATTCAATGGA